TTGTGATCATCCTCTTTGGCTCCCATTCCTGCTTTTTCCTAAACATTATTCCTAAACAGTCAGTGCAATACTTTTGTTAAATCCCTTGGATTAAAGATGAAAGTCTTCAGTTTTTGCATACCAATAAGATACTTACATAGGTCTGCTAAGTGCAGTATTATACCACGGAAGTACTGCTGTGAACCACTGTACATCCTGTCACTCCTGTTTGGCCACAGATAATCTGGCTAAAGTGAGAGTACACTACATCCATTCTCTGGATCTACTCTGGATCTACTCTGTGGTCTCCGCCTTGCTACACTGCCTTGCTATGTTCTTTCTCTTGTGTGAGGGGGTTTGTTTTACAATATTCATATTTACACTTGTGGCATAAGCAGATTTTGACTTGTAGATGGATTTCTGTCCATGCAGTGCCTCCCAAGATAAAAAAAAAAAACCATCAAATCAAATTAAAAAAAAATCTTTTGGAGAGATCTGAAATACTATCTACTTTGATCACAACTTGTAATTAGTTGAAGTGCTTGAACAATTGTGCTTAGCCATTTGCCTTAATGCCCTAAACATTTGCCAGTGCTAACAAAGAATGAGAAATGCCATTCCCAATGTGCACAAGTAAAAAAAAACACTGCTTTGTTTTACATGCTTTGACAACTTCAGCTACCATCCAAAATCTGAAAGCCCTGGCTGTTCCAAAGTTATAGTTCCTAACCAAGAGTATACTTTAAAATAAAAAGCTGTACTTTAAGTACAAGAGAACTAGAGAACATCTATTTTGCTTAGCTTTATACTATGTTGATATGAATCCTGAATCAGTCTTAATTTCCATTGGGGGATGCCGTGTGCATAGCAAAACTCTATCTGACACATTTGCGAACTGAATTATTGTGCTCAAAGTCTTGGTTGGATGTGTGATTGGATTTCCCACATTACAGGAAAAGACTGGTTAACTTAAAAGCGTGGATTAACTTCTTGTCACAAGCTTAAGAGACGGCCTATGCCCATCACAGAGACGTCATAAGCAGTTTACCAGACTGTAGACAAGTGCAGGGCCTTAAAAATTATTTGACTCCTGATCTCTTAGTTTGTTGCATATTTTTCACATATGCAACAATATGTTTCAGATTAAAGAACTGTAGTGCAGAAAAAAAACAACACAAATGAATACAAAATGCCATTTTTAAATGATGATTTCATCTATTAAGAGAGAAAAGTTATCCAAATCTATGTGGAAAAAGTAATTGCCCCCAAAACCTAATAATTGGTTGTGTTACCCTTGGCAACAAGAACTGCAATCAAGTATTTGTGAGTCTTTCATATCATGGTAGAGGAGATTTGGTTTTCTGTTCTTTGCAGAATTATTTTAATTCAGCCACTTTGGAAGGGTTTTTTTAAGCATTAACTGTCTGTTTAAGATTATGCCAAAGTGTCCGTGTAGGTTCTTAGTTATCCAGGTCAATCTAGCCTAAGTAGCTTTGAAAGAAAATAACTAGACTTCTTAAGTTTTCTTGAAGACTGAGGGAGCTTCTTGGGTGAAACGTCTTCGAGATACTACAAGAAGACAGTCGCTGTCTTTCCAAGCTCAGATTATGCCAAAGCATCTCAATAGAATTTAAGTGTAGAGTTTGACTAGGCTACTCCAAAGCATTCATTTAGGTGGACTTGCAATGGACTCGCCATTCTAGTCCTGCTATAAAACCCAAGTGTGCTAGAGTTTTCGGGCACAAACTAATGGCTGGACATTCTTCTTCAGGATTTTATGGTAGCACATTCATGGTTCATGGTTATGCCGATTTAACGGGACTCAGACTTTCCAATAAACATTAAACTTTTGTTTCATCAGTCCACAGAATATTTTCCCCAAAGTCCTGGGGATTGTTTTGGGCAAACGTGAGACGAACCTTTGTGTTCTTCTTGGTCAGCAGCACTTTTCTCTTTGGAATTCTCCCAATTCGCCATTTTTGCCCAGTCTCTTACTTATTTTTGAATCATGAACACTGACCTTAACTGTGGAAAGTCAGGCCTGCAGTTTTTTAGGTGTTTTTCTGGCTTTGTGTGTGTGTGTGGCTTTCTGGATTAATTATCAACATATTCTGAAACTTTGGTAGTCCAGCCTCTCCTGGGAAGGCTCAGTACTGTTCCAAGTTTTCTCCATTTGTGGATAATGGCTCCCACTATGGTTCACTGGAGTCCCAGAGCCTGTAACCCTTTGAGGACTGGTAGATGTCAGTTAAAGATTAAACCAACAACAACAAATGTTTTCCTCACGTCTTAATCATCTTTGATCTTATAAGGTGTTTACTACCTTGCCCTGCTACTCTAGTATGACTAGCAGTTTGTTCATGAGTATTTGGGACACTCTGGTAAACATGCTCTGGCCTATTTATTCAGTTTTCATAGTCATGTTGAAGTGCGGATTAGCTTCCCAGGCTGAAAATGACAGCATGTTGCTGAGCTAACAGAGATGGCAGGCCTATTTGCCCTCTTTTTCCCCTGGGGTTGTAAATATTTACTGTACAGGAGCCCAGTTTTTTTTGTTTTTTTGTTTGATAAGCACGTTACCGGCAAAATTCAGATTAGAAGTCATTCGCTGAGGACTCGGCACCTCGCCTCTAGAGTCTGCAGTTTTCTCTGCTTATATCAGTGAGCAGAGCTCAAGTCCGTTGAGCTCTGCTCACTTTTGATTTTGTCCGGAGCAGCTGCAGGCTCATCATCCTCCCCGCATGACCTCCCTCTAAATGCAAGAGCGCAGGTCAGCTTCTCTGAAAACAAAACCAACTCTCAGAAATGAAGGCGAGAAGTAGAAAGTGTTGCGATGAATTTCAAATGAACTCTTATGCAACTGAATTCTATGAGATTTCATTCATTTTAAGAACTGAATGAACTGGTGAGGAGTCATAGATATTCTTTATTCATCTGTAATGTTTTAAGTCTGATACTCTTTTTTCAAACAAAAATAAATTAAAAATAATTCTTTCACTGAGTCTTCCTCAATTAAGATAAACAGATAAACATCTGAAAACATTTCCTGCATTACATTTTTAATACGTTTTAACAGCTTTTGCTAAGTTAACTGACTGATTATTTACAGCTATTGTCACTGGTCACAACATAAAATTAACCGAAACTTCATGAGGTTCATTTATTGTTTAGTTTTATTTTTTTTCACGTCCTCACGTCAGTAAATTTCATTGTGCTAAATAGGCTATTGTCCTCTAGGTGTAGCATCATTATCATTCATCTTAAGGCAAAATAGCCACTATTATTATATTAAAGAATACAGTTACGTTAAGTTAAGTTGTTTCCAAATAGAGGACTATTGAGATGTCAGAAGAAAGTCTCTTTTTGCCGTATTGCTTTAAAATAGCTTGTTGAAGCTGAACTCTCGGGATCAACCATATGAACTGTTTTATAGGTCTGAGATTTTTTTTTTTATTATTTAAATTTTCCGCTTCGTGAAAATACACTCACATATTCCAGAATAGCCCCTTACAGCTTTCACTTTTAAACTCTTGCTGCATCTTATTTCAACGTTTCCGTGGTAACTTCCTACGCATCAGTCTGATAATCGTCTTGCAGCTGATAAATTCTTAGGCATGGAGGGAGGGGAGGCGTAAATGACGGCGAGAGGGAGTCCGGGAGAGAGAGAGCGTCATAAGAAAATCCTTGGTCAAACTTGATCAAATCCTCATGCAACGTGACATCCTATAGGGTGGACACTCGTGGGGCAGCGCGTGTGAAAATGACGGAAATGTGACATTTTGACGCACAGCTCAGCTCTCTCGGAGATGATGTTTGCACTTTGTGCACCAGTGGAAGTTGTTGAAAACTGCCGAGTGCCGAATGTGATCATCGCCTCACCTGTTGTGCTTGGAAATTAGCTGCGGCTCGCGCGTCCCTCCTACTTCGCACCCATGAACTTTTCGGAACGCCGCGCGCTGCCTCATCCTTTACGCAGACAATGAGGATGAGCCGCCGATCCAGGACCCTTCTGTCGCTTGGCTTGAACTTCTTCGCGCTGTTTTTCTCCATAACCGCGTTCATAACTACTTACTGGTGCGTCGGAACGCAGAGAGTACCCAAGCCAAAGTGCAGCAAGCTGCGGACGCACCAGTGTATAGACTACGGGGTGAACGAAACGGACCCCAACAAAGTGGTGTACAGCTGGGAGACAGGCGACGACAGGTTCCTGTTCCGTCAGTTCCACACCGGAATCTGGATCTCATGCGAGGAAAATATTCACGATGAAAGTAAGGTGTGTGTGTGTGTGTAGTGCGTGAATGTTTTTTATTAGTTAACACAGCAGCTGGAATGATTACATACTACTTTGGTTTTTTTCCCTAACTTAACAGTAACACACATAACTATTCATTTACCACAACGATAATCTCGGCAATAAAAGCGTCTGTAAGTGAAGAAAAATGGCACATGCGCAATACATGATTACGAAGGAATGGCTTTGAAATCAGTGTAAAAACTTTAACCATTTGGGGCTATTTTTTCTTATTATTTATAATCTTTTTTTTTTAATCTTTTGTTTTAATTGTTTATAATTGTTGCCATCATCATCAACTTGATAACATTCTGTTACCTGAGCTGATGTAAGCATTAACGAACAACCATTCAAAATTTAAAATAGCCAAAGAAATTTAAAAGAAAAATCAGCAAATTGTAATTTTTATAAACTTGTCATTTTAATCTCCTCCTTTGTCAAAATACAACATTTAGTTAAAATGGAGATTGGCTGCTCCTTAAGAGATTTTCTTTCCTTATTTTTTTTTAATGGCTCTCCATTTGTGTCATTATGGCTTAGAAAAGTAAGCAGCAGCACTTGAAAGCTTGAGTCTGAGATCGTTTAATTCACTTTTTCATCATTATTTATTTTTTAAGGGAGACAAAATAGCACTTAGATCCCCAGCTGGCCGGCTGCCTGGGACTTGAATGGTGTGTTGCTTGAGTTACTCACTAAGTCTGACCATTATGGAGTATTATAAATTAATAACAGAGGGCTCAAGAGGGTGGATTATACGTGTGTCAGAGGAGTGATCATGACCATGAAAAGTTCAGGGACAAAAGGTGTGATCAGCCCAGATTAGTCCTCTCTCTGTTTAGTTTATTACAGCTGGATAAGAAATTACTGAAGCATCTGTCTGTCAGCTCTGTAATACGCCATGACAACCTGTGCTGATAATCTGTGTTTTTGTGATGTACTAGAAACAAACCACAAATTCAAAATATCAAAGAAGCAATTGCAATAACACATTTTTATCTCATCAAGTGACTGTGGGATGGTGAGGAGGAAGGGGGGGTGCTGAGACAGCTTGAGTTAATAAGGATTACGTAACAGAGGCCTTGATGAGTTTTTCCTCAAAACAGCTGTTGCCACCCTCCTTCTACCTGATTAAAGCGTTCCACTTGCAACAAATCCAGTGGCATGCTTTGGTCAACAGATGGAAAACATCATGTCTGCAGGAATCCTTAGTGTCACTGGTTATTTTGTATCCTGTTTGTCACAGGCTGTCATTATGCCACAGTTTTTGAGCCTACCTGTGTTTTTAAAGTCCATATATATATATATATATATATATATATATATATATACGATCAGTAATAAATAATAAATCATGACAGCATGTCATCTTCTGCTGTGTTTCTAGGTGAGAGATGTCGAAGTTTTATTGATTTAGCCCCTCCATCAGAAAAAGGTGAGTGCTATCTGCGTTACCTTGGTTATCACAACTCTTTAAGCCCTCTTCTTACCCTATTTTCATTCACTGAGCTGTACTTCCCCATGTTTGTGAATATTTCCGCATCACTGTAACATCTTGGTCCGTTCTAATCTAATCAGCAACTGTCAGTTCAAGAATGTTTTAATGTGAAATCATGAAGGAGGGCTCACACATTCAGTTTAAAGTTTCACAGATGTTTAGCTGCGATGACACTTTCACTTGAGAAATGCTTAGTTCCTGTCGATCTGTCTGTTAAGAAAAGCAAAAAATTGAGAAGCGGAGTGAAGAGGAGTTGAAATGTCTGATCATCATGTGCAGCCAGATTATATTCCACTAGATTAATTGGAAGGCTGAATAAAGCTTTCTGTAAACCGGAAAGCTTTGACATCAGTTCAAGTAGCACTTCACATGAGATCGTCATGTTACTTTCACCCCACATTAAGTCTGACTAACCAGTGAGATTGAGATGTTAGGTGACAATAAGTCAAAATCTTCCCTTCAATAAAGAATCTTCATCTTAATTTATGTTATTGTGCATTTCTTGTTTGTTTTTTGGGCATTTTTCAGGGATGCTGTGGTTGTCACTTGTTTCTGAGATGTTGTACATTATTCTGCTGCTGGTTGGCTTCAGTCTCATGTGTTTGGAGCTAGTGCACTCCAGCAATGTCATTGATGGACTCAAACTCAATGCCTTTGCTGCCATCTTTACAGTGCTTTCAGGTATGTGCTTGATTCTATTTTTCACTAACTTTAATGCTTTTGTGACATTTCCTGCAGTGTACTGTATTCAAGTATATGCTTCGGGTTTCTAAGATTGTCATTTATCTTTGTAAGCCAGCTTTTGAAGTACAACATACAAACATATCCTGGTTAATCTGTTGATAAGGAGGGAGCTGTTGTTCTTGAACCAGAGAAACATCCCTCTGGTTTCCTTGTAATGATCAGAAGTAAATCTGAACTCAATTCAAAATCTAAAAAAGAAACAGAAGCCTTGAGAAGAAAGCAGAGTGTCAGCTGAATGTTTTTCACTTCTTTTCCCAAAAATAACAGTTTGTAAATGAACCTTAGTAAATTACATGGATGGGGATTTAAGGTTATCCTCACCTGGATAACATCACTGTTTTTACTTAGGATATTCATTTTTCCTAACCCTTTCCATACCCATGGAAAGGGTTGATTCTGCACAAGTATTTTTTTAATACTGTTCTTCTTTTCTGTTTGTACACTGAATCAATCCGAAAAGCTTACTAACAATATACTGTGCATATGATTTCAGGTCTTCTCGGCATGGTGGCTCATGTCATGTACACACAGGTTTTCCAGGTCACCGTCAGCCTTGGCCCACCAGATTGGAGGCCCTACAACTGGGACTATGGCTGGTCTTTCTGGTAAGACTCTGCAAACATCCACCTCAATACAGATAATTTTATACGCTGTGTTATTTATAGTGTTACATAGATAGAGTTAAGTCAAATCGTTCTTTAAGAAACAGGATGAAGAAGTCCACTCTGCATGTCGCTGCCTCGCACTGTCAGCAGAAGCTCTGATCTCACCTCTCTTCAGCATCACTGTCTGTAATGAAAAAAGCCCAAAGCTCTCGTGTTATGGTAGGATTAGGCTTTGGTGTCCAAAGCCCCAGTGCGGGTGTGATTAGAATTGCATAAGGGAATAATATTTTACTCCTTTACAATGTGCACAGTATGCTGAAAATTCATTTTGGAGGCTAAACAATTCTTGACCTTCTGTGGGAATTATCCCGTCTGCATGAAAACAACATGGGATGATGATTTGATTGTCTGACCTCACATGCGAACCAGCCTGCTTGAGGAGACCAGGGGGATTTAAAGTGATTGGCACTAATCTTACCAAATACAGTGTCACGGTATTGAGGGTAAAACGTCAGAATGCCTCACCACACTGAAGCGCACCATTAGGTTTTCACTTTTTTTTGTTAGTTTTTTTTTTTTTTCAGCTACCACATCTGTTTATTAAAATATGAATTCTCTTGCTGTTTTATATCAGCATGGCCTGGGCTTCCTTCACCTGCTGTATGGGCGCATCTGTCACCACCCTCAACTCCTATACGAAGACCGTCATTGAGTTCAGACACAAACGCAAGACCTTCGAGCAAAGCATCAGGGAGGAGGACGCACGGGAGGCATTCGGATATTTCCGGGGGCACTCTGTGCACTCCATCTCCAAATCTGTGGATTATTACTCTAGTCAGACCATAAAGAGTGGCAGGAAAACTCCTATACCAGGTGACTCGCTGGACTTCAGTGACATTGCAAATTCTTTGGGGGAAGAGCAGTGCTGAGTGAGAAAGGACAGTAGGTGGCGGCATTTCTCTTAATGTGGCATCTCATTGGACTGAAGCATAGTTGTCTTTGGTAAGTTTTCACTGTGGGACGAACACCTACAAAGATAACAGGCCGCGGTGTTAGCCCTGTCTGACACATTTAAGTACTGCCTTAATGAAAACCCATCATGAAAGTTTAAGTTGTATAAGTTTAAAGTTGGAAAATTGCAGCTGGCAAATGGTAAAAGTGGACATGAAGGTGTTTGTTTTTTCTTTTGTGCAGCTTACCACGATGTAGATTTAAAAT